AAGACGCTACAGATTTGTTTCTCAGACTTCGAGATATCTCATATCCTAAGAGCTCAAAATAGAATCTCGGATTTTTTAGGTAGGTCTATTCGATCTTTTGTTAAAAAGATTTGTTTCCTTGGTCGTTCTATTCCGCTCTGGTTACTAGAGCTGTAAAATGGGCGAGTACATGTCCATTAGCCCATATCCATTTGTCCAATTGTTGTTTATGGAAAAAGAGTGACCATGTCCATTAAGTACCATGTCCATTAAGGACCAAACCCACAAACACCCATTTTTATATGGGCTACCATGGAGTCCATAATTGACCATATAAGAAAATTTTAAATTTTAGTTTACAAGTGCACAATACAAGTTCATAAGCGTAAAATTCACTCATAGTTTTGCGATTTTAGCGGGAAATCTCGATTTTCCAATTTTGGCGGGAAATCTCAATTTTGCGGAAAATCTCGATTTATGATTTTGGCAGGAAATCTCGATTTTGCGATTTTGGCGAAAAAAATGGTTTTGCAAAAAATCTCGATTTTATGATTTCGGTGAGAAATCTTGATTTTGCGAATTTGGCGGGAAATTTCGGTTTTACGGGAAATCTCGATTTTGTGATTTTGGCGATAAATTTTTGTTTTGGGATTATGAGGGAAATCTCAATTTTGCGGGAAATCTCGAATTTGCGGGAAATCTCTATTTTGCGGGAAATCTCGATTTTGCGGGAAATCTCGATTGTATAATTTTGGTGAGAAATCCTAATTTTTCAATTTTGGCGGGAAATATTGATTTCAAAGAAAATCTCGAGTTTATGATTTTGGCGGGAAACCTCGGTTTTGCGATTTTGCGGGAAATCTTGAGTTTATGATTTTGACATAAAATCTCGCTTTTGGCAATTTTGGCGAGAAACTTGATTTTATGATTTTGATGGAAAATTCCGAGTTTATATTTTTTTACGGGAAATCACGAATTTGTGATTTTTGGCGAAAAATCTCAGTTTCGTGATTTTGACGAAAATTCGATTTTATGATTTTTGACATAAAATCTAATGATAAAATTTTGGAAACCCTAATTTTTTTGTGACTATTGGATAAATCATGTCCATATTGTCCAAAACCATTAACGCCCATTGTCCAATGGTCTAATAATTTTTGTCCATTTATTTCCACATGGACAAATGGGTATTACCAAATAAGACCTATTTACATATGGATATGGACAACCAATGGTCAACCCGCCCATTTTACAGCTCTACAGTGGTTACCTCAAGCTTGAGTAATAGAATGGCAGTTTGATGTAAAAAAAAAAAAGAACAAAGAAAATGAAGTCAGACCTTGTAGATCGATCACTGCCAATTAATTTGAAATGGACACGTAGAATACTTACTTTTCAAATAGAGTTAGAAATATGTGGTTTTTTTCTTTACAATGGGAGATGAGAAGAATGGAGAGGAGATCGAAGGGAGATCAAGGGTAATAAGAAGAGGAAGAGACATATGTAGGAGCCATGAACCGTCACAAGAGCTTCCTTTTGATCTCGTAACAGAGATTCTGAAGAAATTCCCTTCTAAATCCCTTATGAGGTTCAAATTCGCCACAAAGCTCTGGTCATCATTGATTTGTTTAGTAGAGATTAGTTTAGCTACAAGGGCGCCGCGAACATGATGACAGTTGGACTCAACATGTTCTATTCTTTCATGAAATACAGGGTTGGAAGCTATATATAACGCATATTTGTCGTTACAGAAAAGTTGCATCGGCTGTTCATGCTTGATGCCGAAGGACAAAAGTAATTTCTTGAGCATTTAATTTCCTTTAAAGTATCAGACATAGATCTGTATTCAGATTCTGCAGAGCTCAAAAAAATGGTGTCTTGCTTTGTTGTTCTCCATGATATAGGTGACCGTTCGAGTAAAACAACATATGCTGTAAGTGAACGTCTAGACAATGAACATGCATTCCAGTCTGAGTTGCAGTATGCACGAATTTGCAGATCATTATCAGTGCGTAGTAGAATACCTTGGGCAGGAGAGCCTTTGAGATACCGAATCATCCGGAGTGCAGCATCCCAACGCTCTTGTGGCTGAGCTTGCATAATCTTGGATATCACATATCAAATGTTAGATTATTTTATCTATTAAAATATTTTGATATTATATTTTCAAAAATATTATTATTCAATAATATTTTTAGTCTTTAAAAAAATTTAGCAAACATGTGAACAAAAGTGTTGTAGGTATAGGTAATAGGACTGTCACTTCTCTGTAACCAGCAGAAAAGTGTGTTAGTTGCCAAGGGCATTTTCATCCCAAACCAAACAAAATGTATGTTTTTATCCCCAAATGTCCCATCATGGGCAAACCACTAATTAAAGCCTCTATTATGGGCATTTCCCTAATTCTCTCTAAAATGATTGTCCAAAAAATTCAAGGTTTAAACTGTTAGTACGTTCCACCTTCAATGTTTTTAATGCAATTTTCCCCTTTATATAGTGTCTCACTAACCCTAATAACCTCTAAGGCTTAATAATAATTTCATGGACTAATACCAATGGCCCAAATCCAAATTTGAATTTTTATTTATTTTCTTAATTAAATAATTATTATTAAAAAAAAATCGACACATCATCATACTTACCTGTTGTACAGGTCAGTTTGTTACTTGATTGACAAGTATGTCAAGTTGAATGTCTTTTGTGATACAATGTCACTTTGAATGTTTAAAGTGATTGTCCAAAAAATTCAAGGTTTAAACTGTTAGTACGTGCCTCCTTCAAGGTTTTTTATGCAATTTTCCCCTTTATTTAGTGTCTCACTAACTCTAATAACCTCTAAGGCTTAATAATAATCTCATGGACCTCAAATTTTGATATCACCAACGAAACCCAAGGGATTTCGTCCATCTAGAAGGAACCCAACACAATCGGATGTAAAATGTGAACTTGAAGTGTTAGGATGCTTAATTTTTAAGAAAACTAGTTGCATAGTCTCTGCGAAAGCGCAGGGTCGGCGACATTTTTTATGCTTTTGTCTTTGGTATTTTCTTTTTAGTTTTGTTGTTAAATCTTGTGTTACTGGCTAACATAGTGTTTTGATGGTTGTCATCGTGTCTATAATGATGATCGGAAATATTGGAAGTCACAATTCTTACTTAGACAATATAAGTATATGTAGTGAATTTATATTTGAGGTTAGTTGCATATCTTATATTTATAATGATTCAGTCGACCATTTACTGTAGTATTGATCTCATGATCATAGTTTGCCGAACTTTTTAAGTTGTAATTATAGTAATGGAACTGTGGTAATGAAAGTGTTTTTTTTTTCCAAATTTAACAATGTATATAAATAGTTAATAAGTTTTCTCTTAAAAATTTCCTGGGGTTGATTTTGTAACTAAATATTGAAAACTTTTATGTTGGATAGAGTAAACTTTCTACAGTTTCATATATTGAAATAATCGTATGACAATAAATTGTGGAATCGAGAAACTAATATTGGGTTCTTAAATTACTTGGGCTTCAACTCTGCTGGACCTTGAGTCTGAATGTTTCCTCTCTCGATCCTCTCTCAACCACAAACTAAATTGAGATAGTCTCCAGCGTCCGGTGGACCCCTCCTCCCTTGCTCCTCCTTTGCTCTTTGCTGTTCGTCGATTCTCTACCTCCTTGCCGATATGCTGCGTGCGGGGTTTTAAATCGTTTATTGTTACAGCTTCAGGTGGTTCCACGGCGAGGTTCTGAGGTAGTTTTCGCGGCGGATGCTTGGCTTTTAGGGCTCCATGGTGTAGATCGGTTTTACTTTATATTTTCCCAGAAGTCACTGTCGTTAAAGAAGATTATTGTTGGGGGATTGCGTGAGAGTTTCTAGCTTGTATAGGGTCTCAAAGGTGTTCTCTTTCGGCAATGGGGGTTAGGTTCTAGGATTGCTTCGGCTTCGGTTTGGTCTTGTCCTCTCTGCCCTTTGCCAAGTGAGCTTCGGTGCTTCTTTAGATCAGAGGCGAGTATTGGGCAGATGTATGCAGTTGGTGGTGGTTCTCTGTTCAAACTTCGACTCCTGTTAATGGGCGTGCTCTCTGTAGCAAGCTGTTTTCTATGGCTGCTTGTGGTTTGCTCGTTCGGACACTTCACTTCGGTAATCAACTTCACGGCTTCTATTTTAGTTGTATCCTTGCTTTGGTTGTGCTATCGCTTGGATTTGTCTCGAGGCTTTATCATTCGACCTATCTCCACTGACACGGAAGGCGGGTCGTCACATATTGGTTACTGGCCTTTGGTTCTCAAAGGTTGCAAATGGTGAGGCAGTGATTGGTCATTCACTCCTCGGTGTCTCCATTTGGTCTAGACCACTTCCCAGGACCACTTTAGCTCATGGTGCTCTTGTGGTGGTGAGCCTGACTTACCATGTTGGTGATTGAGACTGGCTAGAATAGGAGTGGCGGTACTTCCAGCCTGATTTTTTTTCAGGTTTCGTAGACGGAAGTGGCGAGCGCTTGCTCGATTTGGGATGCGGATCAATGTGTCGTGTGACGCTACGTACAAGCCGGCATTGGTGGCAGTCGCAAGGCTCTTGGTAAGTATCTGAAACCTCCCCTTCAGTCATCTTGAGCTTCATAGACAGAGAAAAGTATAAGTTTTGTGGAGATCATCTGGAACTAGCTATTCCGGAGACGTCAAGGAAACTCCCAGCATCCGAGGTAACGAGGAGAACCTCACTTTCCAGAGAATCATGTTGATGGTTGAGAACGGCTACCGATATCAAAGAATTTTAAAAAACAAACTAGCCAACTGTACCGGGTTTAGTGGGTGGGCGAAGCTAGGCTTGTAATAGTTTGATCTCGATACTTTTGTTCAAAACAAGCTTGTAACCGTATATTCCCGAATTCTCAGCAGATTTTATATAAATTCTCATATTTAAAAAAAAAACAAAACAAGTTGATGTTAAAGAAAACATGTAAAAAATTCCGTATTTTTAACACACATGTATAATGATAGTTGATTAAAATTTAATTATATAAACAGGGGTTTTCCCCGACAGAAATTCTCAACATTCATATTGTGGCAGACAATTAGTTCAAAGACAAGTATATTGTACAAATTAAAACTCCCCCACTCGAATCTGATAGTGTCGTGTGGATCATCACCTAAGGTGATTCACCTTCTCATATGTTCCTCTGTTTTGCATCAGCTCATAAGCCAGTAGAAAGCCTTTCCGGACGATGAAGGAAAACATGTGAGCTACAAACCATTGAGGGGAACTAAAAATCTTCACATGAGTGAAAGCGGAAGGGATGAAAACAGTACAAAAGATGGCAACAAAGAAAGCCACATAAAACTCTAATGTGACTTGGTAAATAGTCGATAGGTTTGCCGAAGACACATGACCTAGCTGTCTCGATGTCGTCTTTACAATCTCCTCCACAAGTTTGCTATCAATGCTACGTGTCAAGTGAAGCAAACCCATCAGAACCAATCCGACCCTTCTTCAACTATAGCAGTCAGAAGAACTAGACCCTATTCAGCTAAACCATTAATAAACACAGCTCTTTTTTTAACTAAACCGATCATAACCATACTTTTCAACTCTCTTTCTTTTAAAATTTAGTAAATATTTCGTAAATCCTCCTATGGCACATTAAGGTCCAAACAATTTCAAATTCAATCTATTTTGGAGAGGAGAGCCTCCCTATGAAACTTAAACTTATGACCCTTTAGATGCATATTAGATAATCAAAGAGTTTAGCCATTGAGCCAAACTCATGGTAAAGTTTAGTATCTATTTTTGGATAAAATCACACCAAATTGATAATTTGCGAAAATTATATACCTGTAGACTTCTGAGGTTAAACCCATCTTGGAGGCAATAGACGTGACAGCGATCATCCAACGTTGAGCCATAGGAGCATCAAAAGTCCCAAACCTTCTCATCACCATTTCCCTAAAATTTCTCCCGAATTTTCCCTGAAAGTTTTTTACTTCCTCAGTGCTCACTCGGTAGAAGATAGGTATCACCACTAGCTTTCCTTCCTTCATCCGCTCATCCATCTTCACTAGCTCGTTTAAGCACCAATCTGATTGCGTGTACTTGTTCGAGAAGATCGCTAGTGCCATCTTTGAGTTGTCGATCCTCGCTAAGAGGCGTTCAAACGTGTCTACACCTCTTTGCTCCAAGCTATCAATGAAAACGTTGATTCCCACCTCTTTCAAGGACTTCACGACGTGGCTCAAGAAGCCATTCCGAAGCTCTTTTCCTCGAAAATTGATAAACAATTGAGGACGTGGTTGGAGTAAGAGGTCTAGGGTGCTGAGCTCAGGCTCAGAAGAGTCTCGTTGTGGTTGAGTTTGCGTAGCAGTAGTCATGGGGTATAGACACAGCCAACGAAACGAGAGACAAGAAGAGTGTCTTGCGGTGGGTGAAGAAGCCTGCGCAAGGAATCGTACATATTTTTCAATTTATTATAAACAAAGACCACGTCAAGAAGTCATACGTCTATAATTATCCCCCTATACATTAAAAGAGAAGTCACTTGGACACGTGGCACTCATACATGCCTTCTCAGAAGAATTCTAGCGATTCTATTGGTTGATTTTTTAGAATTTATTCATTTAAATTCATTTAAATACTTACCTTTTATGTTTTCTCGATTCAAAGAACATCTTTTTGCGATATTTTCTCTGTTTAATTCATTAAATACTCATTGATTGACAAGATATTTTCACTCTTAAAATCATGCATTTAAAACAAAATTAATTGATACGATATTTTCTCTCCTAAAATCATGCATTTAAAACTTAAACCAAAATTCTGGTGCAATCTATTCACGAAATGTTCTCCTTTAGCTTTATCAACAAGATATTCCAAAAATAATATTACCTTAAAAGTATAAGATTTATTGAGAATTTATTAGAGAATATGTTACTTCTTAGCTTATCATGCAAGCTAAATCATTGAGACACGTCCATCAATTTACTATAAATAAGGCATTCACAGTAGAAGAAATAAAATTATTGAACTTTGTATTCTGAACTTTTTATGTTAATAATGTTCTAATCCTTTTTTTTCTTCTTATTTTATAACATTAAGCTTTTATATTTCATGAGAGCTGATTTTTCTTTTGGTTTATATGCAGATATCCTATAATGATGGTTTCTCCACTGAAGCTATATATGATTTGATTGTACACCTCTTTGATATATCATTTCGATAACATCTTTGTTTCTCAATCTGGTAAAAAAAAATTCTCTATTTGATAACATCTCTCAGCTATATCATTTCAATAGCATCTTTTTGTGCTGCCAATACTTTTTTTTTTTTTGATTAGTAGATTTATATTATTGTTTAGAATTATAAGCTTATATATACATTTGGTTTGCTGATTGTGATTTTTTTTTATGATCTTTTTAATTAAAATTGATATATTTTTTTGGTTTGCAATTATATGATCTTTTTTAATTAAAATTAAATATATATATATATATATATAGTAATATTTATTAATCAAAAAGTTATATCAACTACTTTTTATATTTATTATTTCCTTATTATATATCATTTAATATTTAAATATCTATAGTTTAAATGTAATTTACCTTAATGTTTTTAGTTTATTAATAACCTACCTTATTTTGAACACATATTACTTGTGCAACTTCAAATTATATTTGTTGCATTGTTTAATTGCAATTTACCTTAATGTTTCTAATTTTTTTGATCGTCTTTATAAATTTATTTTGAACACATATTACTTGTGCAACTTCAAATCATAGTTATTACATTGTTTTAATGCAATTTACCTTAATGTTTCTAATTTGTTAATTCGTTTTAAAAAACTTACCTTATTTTGAATATGATTTAATTGCACAAGTTTATAACATATTAATTGTAAATCATTTAATGACAATATAACTTTAATATCTTTCTTTGAACTGTTTCATTATTTATTATGAAATTATATTCCTAAACATCATTTGTTATGAAAATATCTCCCTAATAACATAAGAAAAAAGGAAGGTAGAGTATATATAAAGGAGACACCTAAGGGATGTCAATACTAACTTATTAGTCTATTTTTATTCGATACAAAAATTTAAATTTATAAATTCTTACATTTGTTTGTTTTTCTATTAACATATAAATAACATAGACGAAAGACCGGTTGTAGTTAACTACAAACCATTTATCAGTTTGTTTCAATAGTGATATGCAAATTTAATATTATTTTTGTCTCAATAAAATTTAGAAATCTATTAAATTATTTTTTATTGTAAAGTTGCTAACAAAATTTGACAATTTTTTGCAGGTTTCTGTGAGATATTTTTAATTCATATCTGTTCTTCGTATTTTATATTACTTATTTAATTCATAAGATTGATTGGTAATAATTAAGAATGGTTTATGTTAACGCATTAAATTCAGAACATCTATATAGCAATAAAAAGAATGTAATAAATAATACGAATATATTATTTGATACTAACTTATCGTGCAACCATATCAACACTATTATATATATCTTACATTTTCTTA